CACAGACCTCGGCTTCTTAGATCTTGTATCGGCTCTTCTCCTTCCCTGGTTTTATCTAACTTCTGCTTCAAATTTACAAGCCAATGCAAGGTCATTCCTTATACTTTCAGATTTAATTAAAGCCTTCATATATGTTATTCAAATCCATGTAAGGACATCTACCTTCTCTTGCTGCATGGGACGCGTATTTCTCCAATATGGCGTGCTTAAGACCTAAACACGCTTAAAATTAATTAGTGTTTTAATTAATGTATACAGTTAATAAATTATAATTTCTTTTAGATTCTTCTTTGCAGCACAGAAATGGGAGGGACTTACATTGACCTGATCATGAAGGTATTTAATGTATTCGACAGTCTCGTGCAGTACAGAGGCAGTTGCAGTCTGCATTACAATCAATAAATAATAAACAAGTATTATTCATTTAAAAATGTTTATGTAGATGTATTAACCTTTCCAAATGGCGAAACCAGCTGCTGGAGGGCATTGATTTTGTCCCCTAGTTTTTCTTTCCTCACCTGCAAACATATTATATTCTGAAACTTCTCATATTTATGAATTTGAAGGAATTAAAGCAGAATGAAAATGATAAATATCGAATAAGAAATGAGAGTTATGTATAATGTATCGAATTAAATCTACGTCATAACATACTTTGAAGGCTGCCGGCAAGGGTGAAAGCGTCTCAATGCGAGGCTTCTTCATCTCAGACTCGTTGCTGGTCTTCATGTCCGAAACCTCTTCCAAGCTCTATATGTATTATATTGAGAGCATTCAAATTGTTAACAGGAACCATCATGTTTATCTTACCACATTTTCGATAAATTGCACTCGTGCAATTCTACATCATAACATATGTTACAAGAATGGGATGCTTTTCAAGCTAGTGGTTAATACATATTGCTTTTACGAAAGAAATTTATAATCAAATCGAAAAGATCACTTTAATAAATCAAGCACTCAAGTCAACTTTCACAGAGAGAAGAAATAAATATGTGAAGTGCTCCACACATACATCAAGTTAACAAGCATGTTGTCAACGCTATCTCAATTATGAGTAGTGATATATTTCTGATCCTATCATTTAACCTAAAACTGGCTGAAATGAGGTAAAATGACCATTGTGCTCCTTCTATCCCTCTCATCAATGAAACTAAGGGCCCGTTTGGGTCAGCTTATTTG